CAGAGGGGCTGCACCAGTTTACATGCCCACCAGCAGTGCAGGAGGATGCTCGTTTCTCCACATCCTCACCAGCATCTCGAGTCTCCTGATTTGTTCATTTTAGCCACTCTGACTGGCTTGGGGTGGTATATCAGTGTGATTTTTGATCTTTATTTCCCTGATGATGAGTGACACTGAGCATTGTTTCATGTGTCTGTTGGCCATCTGGATGTCCTCTTTGGAGAAGTGTCTGTTCATGTCTTCTGCCCATTTCTTCACTGGATTATTTGTTTTTTGGGTGTGGAGTTTGGTGAGTTCCTTATAGATTTTGGATACTAGCCCTTTATCTGATATGTCATTTGCAATTATCTTTTCCCATTCCTTCAGTTGCCCACTAGTTTTACTGATTGTTTCCTTTGCTGTGCAGAAGCTTTTTATCTTGATGAGGTCCCAATAGTTCATTTTTGCTCTTGATGCCCTTGCCTTTGGGGATGTGTCAAGTAAGAAATTGCTGCATTTGAGGTCAGGGAGGTTTTTCACTGCTTTCTCCTCAAGGGTTTTGATGGTTTCCTGTCTCACATGCAGGTCCTTTATTCATTTTGAGTTTATTTTTGTGTATGGTGTGAGAAAATGGTCTAGTTTCATTCTTCTGCATATTGCTGTCCAGTTCTCCCAGCACCATCTGTTAAAGAGGCTGTCTTTTGTCCATTCAATACTCTTTCCCACTTTGTCAAAGGTTAGTTGGCCATATATTTGTGGGTCCAATTCTGAGTTCTTTCTTCTATCCCATTGGTGTATGTGTCTGTTTTTGTGCCTGTACTGTCTTGATGTTGACAGCTTTGTAGTAGAGGCTAAAGTCTGGGATGGTGATGCCTCCCGTTTTGGTTTTCTTCTTCAGTATTACTTTGGCTATTTGGGGTCTTTTGTGGTTCCATACAAATTTTAGGATAGTTTATTGTAGCTTTGAGAAGAATGCTGGTGCAATTTTGATTGCAATTGCATTGAATGTGTAGATTGCTTTGGGTAGTAATGACATTTTAACGGTATTTTTCCGACCCATGAGCATGGAATGTTTTTCCATTTCTTTGTGTCTTCTTCAATTTCCTTCATGAGTTTTCTATAGTTTTCATCATACAGATCTCCTATATCTTTGGTTAGGTTTATTCCTAGGTATTTTATGTTTTTTTTGCAGTTGTGAATAGGATTATTTTCTTGATTTCTCTTTCTGTTGCTTCATTATTAGTGTATAAAAATGCAACCGATTTCTGTACATTGATTTTATACCCTGCAACTTTGCTGAGTTCATGGATCAGTTCTCATAGGAGTCTGTCGGGTTTTCTATGTAGAGTATCATAAACGTTATTTTTTTTTAAAGGGGCGTAAACATTAGAAGAAAAAAAAATTGAGAGTGATTGCCTTAGGTGTATAGAATTATGCATAAGGAAGAGTTAGGTCAGGGAACTGAATTTTTTTTTTTTTTTTTTTTGAGAAAGAGTGTGAGTGGGGGACTGGCAGAAAGGGAGACCTAGACTCCTAAGCAGGCTCTATAGAGGCTCTGAGCTGTCAGCACAGAGTCAGACACCGGGCTTGAACTCACATATCGCAAGATCATGACCTGAGCCAAAGTTGAACACTTAACAAACTGAGCCACCCAGGTCCCCCAGAAACATTTGACTTTCTTAATCAGCATGCAGTGTGGCATAGCAGTTAAGAGTATAAATGCTTGCGTGCCTGGGTAGCTCAGTAGGTTGAGCGTCCTACTTTGGCTCAAGTCATGATCTCATGGTTCATGAGTTCAGGCCCCACATTGGGCTCCCAGAACGCACTTTGTGTAGTCTGTCCTCCTCACTCTACCCTCTCCTACTTGCGATCTCTCTCAAAAATAAATGAGCATTTAAAAAAAGTATGAGTGCCAAGGCCAGACTGTATCTTACCGCCACTATTTTTAAATTGCTTAAATTAAATTACTTAATTTCTCTGTGCTTAACTTTTCCTCTCTGTAAAAATGGGAATAATAATAGAACTTACAGAATTTTTGTGAGGATTAAATTAGTTAATACAAGTAAAACATTAAAACAATGTGTGGTGCATAGTAAACACTCAATGTTAGCAGTTTTTATTACATGTCAGCACTGTTCAGTTACTGATATACAAGAATAGAGAAATTTACTATCATATTGGTGGAGGGATTTAAATGTTGCTTTTACTTATCAAGAGAACAAGCAGACAAATCAGACAAAAAATCAGAATGAGTATAGAGGTCTTCAACATGGTTATTAAAATTACTATAATGCACATGTAAAGAATGTTGTGTCTAGCCGACTGTAAAACAACAACCAGAGTCATTTCCAAGGTAACAAACCACAAGAGACTCAACAATAGAGAACAAACAAAGTTGATGAAGGGAAGTGGGTGGGAGATAGGCTAGATGGGTGATGGGTATTAAGGAGAGCACTTGTGATAAGAACTTGGATGTTGTATGTAAGTGACAAAGAAATTCTCAAATATTAAAAAATGAAATCATATAGATTGTGATTTCTATTCACAACGCAGTCAGGCTTGAAGTTAACAATAAGAGATAACTAGAATATTCCCCATGTAACTAGAAATGTTAAAATATACTTCAGATTAACCTGTAAGTCAAAAAAAGAATCATAATTAAAACTGAAAATAATAATGAAGTACTATGTATCAAAACTTGGAATGCTGTTTAAGATTGGGTAAAGTTTTACATGTGTATTTTAGAAAAGAAAACTTGAAAACGGATGAGTTATTATTGCACGAAATTAGGAAAAAAGAAAATAGAAGACACCAGCCAAGCGCTAGCCCTATTCATGTTAACTTTTTCCTACACATTAAGGATGTGAACCTACAGGACCTTTGAAATACTACAGGACAGTTGTTTGGTAAACTTTGGAAAAAGTTTGGCATTAGATAATAAAGTTATCCCTGCATTTCCTCTCCTAGGTTTATTTAGCTGTATATATCTATAGAAGCTGCTATATACATATGTGTTTCATGAGACATATCTAAGAATTTTCATAGTCTTGGGCACCTGGGTGGCTTAGTCAATTAAGCATCCAGCTTTGGCTGAGGTCATGATCTGACGATTCATGAGTTTGAGCCCCACATTGGGCTCTCTGTTGTCAGTGCAGAGCCCATTCTGATCCACTCCCCCACCCTTCCGCCACTTGCTCTGTCCATCTCTCTCAAAAATAAATAAATAAACTGGGGGAAAAAAAAAGATTGCTCGTAGCTCACTATAACTGTCCAAAACTGTAGAATAGCAGGAGTGCTTGGGTGGCTCAGTCAGAAGAGCATGCAACTCTTGATCTTGGGCTTGTGAGTTTGAGCCCCACGTTAGGTGTGGAGATTACTAAAAAAATAAAAGTCATGCTGCAAAGCTATAAAATAAATTTATTACAGTAGAATAGTATAATACAATAGAATAAAACAACTGAAAATTAATGAATAGCATGAATAGCTACATGCATTGAAAATAAATAAATCTCATAAGTACAATTTCATTCAAAAGAGGAATGACACAGAAGAGACAATTCAAAATGGTCCCATTTATGTGAATTTCCAAAACAGACAAAACATAAGTATATTGTTTGGGGGTACACAAATAAGGGTGGCAAGACTGTATAATACACTATTACTTACATACCATAGTAGGTGTTTAGCGAATATTTGATGGATAAATGGATAGTTTTGATCTTTGAAACAGAAATGGTAAGTACTGATTTAAAAGAAAAGTCTAGGTTTTATTATATTTTGTAGGAATACAGAAGGAAATGACAGCTTGTGTTTATAAAGTTTCTTCCTACTAGACAAGAAACCCCTTTTCAGGCTTATATATTGAATATAAATAGCTGAAATATGAAAATTAATTAAACATTTATATGCCTAATAAACATACATTAAACCAGCGTGTGTGTTGTGAATTCCAAAAGAAGTATTTGTATTTTTTTTTTTTTTTAATTTTTGAGAGAGAGAGAGAGAGACAGCGTGAGCAGGAAAGGGTCAGAGAGAGGGAGGTACAGAATCTGAAACAGGCTCCAGGCTCTGAGCCAGCTGTCAGCACAGAGCCCGATGCGGGGCTCAAACCCAGGAACTGTGAGATCATGACCTGAGCCGAAGTCGGGCGCTTAACTGACTGAGCCACCCAGGCGCCCCAAAAAAAGTATTTGTAAACCAAGGGGTTCAGTTATTTATACTGAACTCATCTTTCAAATATTTTTGTCAAAATCTGCTAGAATGTCCATTATCTTCAAAAACTTGATATAGCATCAAGTTTATCACTGTTTTTCAGATAAACTTTCTGTTGGCTTTACTACTGTATCTGATTTTTTTAAATAGGCAATGTGTATTTTTTGAAATTCCCATTGTAATGCTGCCTTGTGGCTATTAGGATGGATGGTTTAACAAGATCGCTTGCATACTTTATCAGCATTTATACTTAAAATACTGTTCTGGGCCACCTGGCTGGCTCAGCTGATAAAGCATGTGACTCTTGGTCTCGGGGTCAGGAGTTTGAACCCTACAATGGGTATAGATATTATTTTAAAAAAGAAATGAAATAAAATAATGTTTGAAAACTGCTTAAGTCTTCTCCAAGAAGGGAAGTGGTCTTTTTGTCTCAGAAGTCCTGTTTACAGTGAAAGGTGTAAAGCGAAGGTAACAAACTCAAATGCCAATAGTGGCCCAGAGGGAATGAATGAAAAGAGCAGGATGGGCGCTGTGGCGGGTCTGGAGCAGAGTCCTCGTATCTAAACAGCAACTCCTCCTCAACTCCATCTGTTTGTTGCCACAAGGGAAGATGGTGCCAAATCTTCCTTTTTTTTCTGAATGTGTCATATATTTGGCAATTAATTTAGAAGTGTTAAACACTGTGCAAGTGATCCAAAACAAGTATGTGGGCAGGATCTAGTTGTTAGGCTATTAGTGTACAAACAACTTTAAAGGATTTATAATTTTGGTGAAATAATGTATTGGTTTTTATTGTGTTTTACCTGTAGTCGACAGAGGTACGTTCTTGGAGACACAGCAATGCAGAAGATGGCCAAGTCCCATGTTTTCTTAAGCGGTATGGGTGGTCTAGGTTTGGAAATTGGTAAGTAGTATTTTTATTCATAATTTTATATTATGCTTTTAGCAACATGAGTTAAAGAATTTAATTTCTTCCCCTTGTACTATTTCCTATAAAGGAAATTTGATCCAACACCTTGAAAAGATTGTTTGGTTCTTTTGACAACAGTGTTGCATAATACTGCTGTATCCTTCCAGAAGGAACCAGTAATGCCTCTCTTGTTTCTCTTTGTGATGTTAATAGCAATTGATGATCATTTCTTTCTCCTTAATTCATTATGATAGAGTGCACATGCACATATATTTATAACAACATGTCTAGAATAATGAAATTTTAATAGTGATTACCTCCGTATGGTATGATTTTAGAAAATTTAATGTTTTTCCTTTTTGTTCCTCTGTGTTTTCTAAGGGACTTGTACTACTTTGGTAGTAAAAGAGTTAAAATTATCCAGTCAGAGATGTGGCCAAGTTCCATGAAGACTATCTAAAATACATTCCTAATATTAAGCTATTCTTTTTTTCCTCCTTTATAGCAAAGAATCTTGTTCTTGCAGGAATCAAGGTAAGTGAGTAAATGTCCTTGGTTAGAATAATTGTTGTGATTTTGTTTCCACCTCAGTAGTGGTAATATTATTTACATTTCGGCTTATTGCATTATCATTTAGTAGCAAACCTTTTTTGTTACATTTGTTTGTTTATTTATTTATTTTGAGAGAAAGAGTGAACAGCCAGCAGAGAGAGAGGGAGAGAGAATCCAAAGCAGACTCCACGTTGTCAGCACAGAGCCTGACATGGGGCTCAGTCCCACCAATCATGAGATCATGACCTGAGCTGAAAACAAGAGTAGGTCACTTAACTGACTGAGCCACCCAGGTGCCCCAGCAGCAAAATTATCTTAATGCTGTGTTTTTCTCTTTTTAGAAAAAACTATTATAGAAAATTTCGAAATTATTTGAAAATGGAATAGTTTTTTTTGGTTTTTTTTTTTTTAAGGTTGTTTATTTTTTGAGAGAGAGAGAGAGCTTGAGCCGGGGAAAGGCAGAGAGCAGGAGGGAGAGAACCCAAGCAGGTTCTGCACTGTCAGCTGAGAGCCTGACACAGGGCTCAAACTCACAAGTGGTGAGATCATGACTAGAGCCAAAATCAAGAGTCAGATGCTTAAGGGACTAAGCCACCCAGGCACCCCAAAAATAGAGTTGTTTTAACAAAACCTCATGTATCCTTCATGCAGCTGCAGTTACAGGCTCGTAGACATTGTTCCATGTATCTCCTTCCTGTTCCTCACTGTTCCCCAGCCACCAAATTATTTTGATATAAAACTCAGACATCCTATTATATCATTCTTAATTATTTTAGTATATATTTCTAAAAGATAAGGGTGCCTTTTGAAAGAATAACCACAATGCCATTTTTGTACCTAAAAGTGTAACCATTCCTTAATATCATTGTCTTAGTTATCTGTTGCTGAAAACAAATTACCCCAAAACTTGACAACTTCACAACGCTTATCTCAGGGTCAAGAATTGGGTGCAACTTACGTGGTTCCTCTGTTTGAGAGTCTTTCATGAGCCTCTAATCATGCTGTTTGGAAGGCTGCAGTCCTCTACAGGCTAGGGGAAGAATCTGCTTTCCGGGCTTGCTCACATAATGATTGACAGGATTCAGTGGCAAGGTCAGTCCACTTCACATTCCCATCTCGGTTTCCTGCTGGCTCTTGGTTGGAGATACCCCTCAGTTCCTTGACATGTGATCCTCTTCGCTAGGCACCTCACAGTATGGCGATTTGATTCATCAGAGTAAGCTAACAAGATGACTAGGGAGGAAGTGTACTAGCAAAACAAATCAATCTTTTGCAGCCTAATCTCATAAGTGACATTTCACTATTTGTGCTTATTTGCTAAAAGCAAAGTTCACTAGTTTACAGCTGTATGGAAAAGGGATTACACAAAGGCATGAGTACTAGGAGCTGGGAATCATTAGAGCCATTATACAAACCTGACTACATCAGTCATCAAATACGTAGTTAGAGTTCAAATTTTTCCAAATGTCTTACAAGGATTCAAATAACGTCCATATACTGAACTTGATTTCTTTTAATCTGTATAGTTCTCTTCCCTAATATTTTTTCCCCTTACAACGTACTTGTAAATAACAACAGGTCATATATCACATGTACCTCTACCCTTGTATTTCCTGTAAACTGGTAGTTCTGTCCAGAGATTCGGATTCAGATTTGATTATTTGACACCACTGCTTCACAGATGATTTTATATTTTTCTCATCAAGAGGAAATCATGATCTCTTGTCCTTGTAATTATTACTGATAATAATGATCATTGCCTAGATTATTTTATTAGGGATAATGGTATTCTAATTCTGTCTTTTCTTTTTGATTTATTAGCTGGAATAATTTAGAAAGACAATTCTTGGGGTGCCTGGGTGGCTCGGTTGGTTAAAGTGTCCGACTTCGGCTCAGGTCATGATCTCACAGTTCATGAGTTCAAGCCCCATGCTGGCCTCTGGGCTGACAGCTCAGAGCCTGGAGCCTGCTTCAGATTCTGTGTCTCCCTCTCCCTCTGCCCCTCCCCCACTTGCGCTCTGCCTCTCTCTCCCAAAAAATAAATTTTTTTAAAGTAGAATTTATAAAGATAGGGTTTATTCAGATAAGGCTACCTTCTCTTTACCCTATTCCCACCTTCCCTTTTTTCATGTTTTGAAATATAAACAAATACATGCATACAAATATGCAAATCTGTATATATGTATATATACAAATTTACCCCCACCTGCCTTTCTTAAACAAAGTGCCATACTCTCTTCCACCTTGCTCTTTATCACTTAACAACATATCTTGGGCTTACTCCATAATGATAAATATATATGTTTTCACTTTTTTTTTTTTATAGCTGTATGGGTATACATTGCATGGATGTATCATATATTATTATACCCAATTCCTTACTGGTAGACATTTTAATTATTTTCCGTTTTTTCTATTACAAGTAGTGCTGCAGTTAATACTCTTGTACATATATCTTTTTTAGTGTATCTTTACGATAGATTCTTTAATGTGGAATTGTTGTGTCAAAGGATATAAGCACATGTTGTTTTACTAGAGATTGCCAAGTTCTTTTCCATTGAGGTTATGCAACTTTACATTCTCATCAAGAATATATGAGAATGCCTGATTCATATCACTCTCCAGTAGAATATATTGTCAAACTTTTGGATTGATGCCATTCTGATTAATGAGAAAAGGTATTTCATTCTTGAGCAGAGTTGAACATGCTTAAATATTTTAAAGGGCCATCTGCATTTCTTTTTCAGTAAACTCCATGTTCATATACTTTGCCCCTTTGTCTGTAAGATGTGTCCTTTAATAATAATGTTGAAAATATTCTTTCCATTTGTTATTATCTTTCTTACTTAGAACATAGAACACTTGGAAATGTTTTTTTTTATGTGAATTCTTTTGATTACTGTATTTTGATTAATAATATAACATACTTTACTAAATTAAAATTCTCATATGGTTTAAAGTAGTTTTCTGTTAATTTTCCTGAATTTCCATATGTGTATGGTCATATCATCTGTGAATGAATCCAACTTTAGATCCATTCTAATTCTTAAGCTTCTAGTTACTTTCTATTGTCTAATTTCACTGGATAATACTTCTGACACAATATAAATGAAATTGGAGATAGGGAACATCCTTGTCTAATTCTGACTTTAACAGAGTTTTTACTTTTTCAAAGGCACTTACCATTCATGATACAGAAAAATGTCAAGCATGGGATCTAGGAACCAACTTCTTTCTCTGTGAAGATGATGTTGTTAATATGAGAAACAGGTGAAGATATTTTGATATTTTATCATTTTTTTTTACAATTATGTAGAATATTTTCTGTGCCCAGAACACTAACTCATTCATAGTTGTTTGACTCATCAACTTAAATTCACATCACATAGATAAATATTAATGTATACTCATTTAATTATTTAGATTTGTGAAAATTTTAATATATTCACATTGCTACCTAGAAGTGAAATTTAGGATTGTTAAAGGTCTTTATTATTGCTAACTTATCAAAAGACTTAAAGAGGTTGGAACCAGGGTACACTTTGAGATTCTATGGCTTACTATGGAATGTGACAGCATGCTATATTTCAAGAGTGTATAGTTGTTTATAAAGATAAGTATGTCTTAACTTCTTTGTTCCTCTACAGTTTGTTAAATTTCTCTTGAAATTTTCTAACTTGCAGGTTTCTCTGATGTTGTCAAAGTTTCCAAGTATGAGGGATTGTATATATTGAATGAAAGAGTAGTATAAGTGCTTATTTATTTATTTGTTTATTTTAGGGCTGAAGCTGTACTTCATCATATTGCAGAACTAAATCCATATGTTCATGTCACAGCATCTTCTGTTCCTTTAAATGAAGCCACAGATCTCTCTTTCTTAGATAAATACCAGGTTGGTGCTTTGTTTTATGTTAGTTGTTATTGACACATTACAAGACAAACTGTTAAGTATTATTGTAGTATAACTAATTAAATCTTGTCTGTTGAGCAGAGCAAAACATTTTAGGTTAAAAGACTTCCTTTACAATACCTTTCAAATGCTCCATTTTAGGGAAAAGGCCTGAAAACTACTGACAAAGCCTTTATATCAGTCAGCTACTTTCACAGTTATGTGCATAAAAAACTACCCAAAACTCAGTGGTTTGTAGCAACATGTATTTATTTCTTTATCCTCCATCTGCATGTCATTTGGAGTTCAGCTATTCTAGGCTGAACTTGAACTGCAGAGCCTGGATTTTGCTCAATATGCCTCTCTTCTGGGAACAGGAGGCCACCTAGGACATAGTTTCATGCCAATAAAAGAAATGTGAAGGGGCAAATCCAACAGTCCAAGCACATTTCAAGCTTTCATTCATGTTACTTTCATTTATATTTGATTAGTCAAAGCAAGTCACATGGTCAAGCCCAAAGTTGAGCAAGAAAGTGCACTCTGCTTTTACTAGGGCCATGGGCAAAGGATGATGTATATAATCCAATGGCAGGAGTAAAACGTGAATCAACATTCATTCTACTTTAGTTAAGATTAACTTTAGTTAACAATTTTCTCTGTCTCAAAGTAAGTAAATAAATAAACTTTTTTAAAAAAGAAAAAAAGAAAACTTTAAAAAAGTTCTTTTTAAAAAAAGAACTGGGTGACTCAGTTGGTTAAGCATCCGACAATTGATTTAGGCTCAGGTCATGATCCCATGGTCCATGGTATTAAGCCTGCATCAAGCTCAGTGCTGACAGCACAGAGCCTGCTTGGGTCTCTCTCTCTCTCTCTCTCTCTCTCTCTTTTCTCTTTTCTCTCTGTCTCCCTCCCCTGCTTGTTCTCTCTCAAAATAAATCAATAATCTTTAAAAACAACAATTCCTAGCACCTTATATGTTTGAGAAGTGACTAGATTGACCCTGATTTTCTGTGATTAAATTATGATGCTGCCCTTTGTCTAGGGAAGAAAACTCCTGTGTTTCACCACTACTCAGTACTTTTGACATGGTGTGACCATATAAGTGTGGGTTTTTCCCCCAAACCAAACAGTTCTCCAACTCCCTGGACACCTTCAGTGTCCTACAGTTCAATTCAGTTTTGACACTATCTGGAGAAGATAGTTTCAGATCCCACAAGTTGAGGATTCATTCCCACAAGAGCCCCTCTCTGTCTGCTTTCTGACCTCAATCACATATCCAGGTTGTTACCTATGCTTCTGAGGGCTGGCTGTAAATCATAGGTTTCCACGTCCATCTCCTAGGGTCCGGTTAATTTGCCAGAGGGGCCCACAGAATGCAAGAAAACAGTTATTAGTTTACTGGTTTATTATAAAAGCTGTAACAAAGGAACAGTTAGCTGAAAGAGATACATAAGGGAGCACTGAGCTCCCATGCCCTTTTGAGTATGCTACATTCCTGGCATGAATCTGGAAGCTCTCTGAGTCCATAGTTAGAGATTTTCAAGAAGCCTTTATTATGGATGAGTGAATGATTAAATGATTGACCTTTAGTGATTAAGTCAATTTCCATCCCCTCGCTCTCCTCTTGGGAGGTCTGAAAGATAGGGCTGAAAGTTCTCACCCACACATCACAAGGTTGGTTCCCCTGGCAATCAGTTCCCATTCTTAGGGGGCCTCAGAGTTATTTCATTAATCTAAACTCAGATGTGGGTGAAAGGGACTTGTTATGAATAACAAAAGACATTGTTTCAGCTTTATCACTTGAGCTATTTCAAGATCTGGGATATAAATAAATACTATAATGAAAAATGTCTCTATAGTTCTTCTATCGGAAAATGCAGGAGTTTTAGGACCTATGTGCCAGTTGAAATCCATCTTTTACAAAGATGTTTTTTAATAGATTTCCTATAATAGATTTATTTAATAGGATTCCTTTTATTTTTTTATTGGATTATAATTAATATACAGTGTTATATTAGTTTCAGTGTTATATTCAGTTTCTGTGCATTACTCAGTATTCACCATGGTAAGTGTAATCACCATCTATCACCAAACAATGTTATTAAAATATTATTGACTATATTCCCAATGCTGTATCTGTCATCTTTGTGACTTACGTATTTTATAACTGGAAGTTTGAACCTCTTAATCCCCTTTACTTATTTCACCAATCTTTCTACCCATCTCCCCTCTGGCAACCACCATTTTGTTCTCTCTGTTTAGAAGTCTGATTTTTTTGTTTCTTTGTTCATTTGTTTTTATATTCCAACTGCAAGTGAAATCATATCGTGTTTTTCTTTGACTTCTTTCATTTAGCCTAATCCTGTGTAGGTCTGTCCATGTTATTGCAAATGGCAAGATCTTGTTTTGTTTTCAGGACTGAGTAATATTCCATTGTATATAAATACCACATCTTCTTTATCCATTTATATGTTGATGGACACTTGGATTGTTCCATATGTTGACTATTGTAAATAATGCTGCAGCAAACTTAGGAGATCATATATTTTTTCAAACTCGCGTTTTTGTTTTCTTTGGGTAAATACTCAGTAATGGAATTATTGGATTATGTGGTATTTCTATTTTCAATTTCTGAGGAACCTCCATACTGTTTTCTACAGTGGCTGCACCAGTTTGCATTCCTATGAGCAGTGCAAGAGGTATCCTTTTTCTCCACGTCATTCTCAACACTCAATATTTCTTGTTGATTCTAGCCAATTTTTTTTAATGTTTATTTTTGAGAGAGAAATACAGAGCCTTAATGGGAGAGGGGCAGAAAGAAATGGAGTCACAGAATCCAAAGTAGGCTTGAGGCTGTGAGCTTAGCACAGAGCTTGACACAGGCCTCAAACTCACATCCATTAGATGATGACCTGAGCCAAAGTTGGAGGCTTAACTGATTGACCCACCCAGGTGCCCCGATTCTAGCCATTTTTGACAAATGTGATGAGATACCTCATTGTGGTTTTCATTTGCATTTCCCTGATGTTGAGTGATACTGATCATCTTTTCATGTGTCTGTTGGCCATCTGTATGTCTTTGAAAAATATCTGTTTGGGTCTTTTGCTCAGTTTTTGATCAGATTATTTGAGATTTTGGTGTTGCACTGTATAAATTCTTTATATACTTTGCATGTGAACATCTTATCAGATATATCATTTGCAAATATCTTTTCCCATTTAGTAGGTTGCTTTTTCATTTTGTTGATAGTTAATCTTAACTGCAAAACCTTTTTATTGTGTTGTGGACTCAATAGGCTATTTTTGCTTTTTTTTTTTTTTTTTTAAATGTTTTATTTATTTCTGAGAGAGAGAGAGAGAGAGAATCTGAAACACACTTCAGGCTCCGAGCCAGCACAGAGCCCAACGCGGGTCCCGAACCCATAGACCGTGAGATCATGACCTGAGCCAAAGTCAGACCAAAGCTTAACCAACTGAGCCACCCAGGCGCCCCCTTTTTGCTTTTGCTTCCCTTGTCCCAACATGACATATCTAGAAAAATGTTGCTATGGTCAGTATCAAAGAGATTATTGCCTGTGTTCTCGTCTAGGATTTTCATGGTTTCAGGTTTCACATTTAGAGCTTTATCCATTTTGAGTTTACTTTTGTATATGTGTAAGAAAGTGGTCCAATTTGATTCTTTCACATGTAGCTGTCCAGCTTTCCCAGCACCATTTGTGGAAAACTGTCTTTTCCCCACTATATATTCTTGCCTCCTTTATTGAAGATGAATTAACCATATAAGCACAGGTTTATTTTTGGGATTTCTGTTCTGTTTCATCGATCTATGTGTCTCCATACAGTTTTGACTGCTATAACTTTATAGTGTATCTTGAAATCCAGGATTGTGATACCTCCAGCTTTGTTCTTCTTTTTCAAGATTGCTTTGGCTGTTTGGGGTCTTTTGCGGTTATATACAAATTTTAGTATTATTTATTGTAGGTCTGTGAAAAATACTGTTGGTATTTTGATAAGGATTCAATTGAATCTCTAGATTGCTTTTGATAGTATAGACTTTTTAGCAATACTAATTCTTCTAATCCATGAACATGGAATATCTTTCCATTGGTTGTATTGTGTCTTTAATTTCTTTCATCAGTGTTGCAGAGTTTTTCAGAGTAAAGGTGTTTTACCTCCTTGGTTAATTTTATTTTTAGGTATTTTACTATTTTTGGTGCAATTGTAAATGGGATTCCTTTCTTAATTTCTCTTTCTGCTACTTTATATTGATGTATAAAAAGAGATTTGTGTATATTAATTTTGTAACCTCTAATTTTAATGAATTCATTTGTCAGTTCTAATAGTTTTTTGGTGGAGTCTTTAGAGTTTTCTGTTTATAGTATCACGTCATCTGCAAATAAAACTCTCTACCTCTTTCTTATCAGTTTGGCTGCCTTTTCTTTTTTTTGTATGATAACTACAGCTAAGATTTCTAGTACTGTTTTGAATAAAAGTGGTAAGCATGCACATGCTTTACTTATTCCTGATCTTAAAGGGAGAGCTCTCAATTTTTCACCATTGAGTAAATTATATTAGCTGTGGGTTTTTCATATATCAACTCTATTATGTTAAGTATTTTGCTTGTTAACCTGCTTTGTTGAGAGTTTTTATTCATGAATGGATGTTGTACCTTACCAGATGCTTTTTCTGCGTCTGTGGAGATTGAGATGATCATATGGTTTTTATTCTTTCTCTTGTTAATTATCATTTATTTATCATTTTGATCGATTTACAAATATTGAACCCCACCCTTACTTACCTAGAATAAATCCTACTGATCATGGTAGAATGGATTTTTTAATGTATTGTTTAATTCACTTTGCTAATAATATTTTGTTAAGGATTTTTGCGTCTGTGTTCCTCAGAGTTATTGGACTATAGTTTTGTTCTTTTTTAGTAGTGTTTTTGTCTGGTTTTAGTATCAGAATGATGGTGGCCTCATAGTATGAATTTGAGATTTCCTTCTTCTTCTATGTTTTTGGAATAGTTTAAGAAGAATGGGTATTAAGTCTTCTTTAAATATTTGGTATACTTTGCTTTTGAATCCATCAGATCCTGGCCTTTGTTTTCTGGGAGTTTCTTTGATTACTGTTTTGATTTTTGATAGACTTCTTTTAAATTTTTTATTTGAGTGTTTATTTATTTTTAAGAGAGACAGAGACAGAGGGTGAGCAGGGGAGGACACAGAGAGAGAGACACAGAATCTAAAGCAGGTTCCAGGCTCTGAGCTGTCAGCACAGAGCTGGACATGGGGCTTGAACCCATGAGCCATGAGATAATGACCTGAGCTGATGTTGGACGCTTAATCGACTGATCCACCCAGGCATATCTGATAGACTCTTTATCTGAACTCTAAATAAAATGCTCAAAGACCAAAAATAAATAAGTGGTAAAAAAAAAGACCAGTGAACTGTTTATTTGCTGTGGTCACTTTCAGAAAGGGGTGCTGATCTCAGTAACCCCATTTCTTGGGAATTAGTGGTAACACAGAAACAGAAGATACACAATAGGTTTACATGAGATAGAGAAATGGAATTGAGACTTATGCCCTCTTTGTAAAGTTAAAGCCTCAGAGAACTGCACCCTCAGTGAAAGGTGAAGAGAACAGTCTTTGCCCATCAGAATGAGAAGATTGCTTGGTTTAGCTCTGGATGAAAAAATAATGATCTTCTCTGGAAATTTCACAGCCATATGCCTGTCCTTACCCAGGTTTGGAAATAAACTTTATAATTCTTTGTAATCTAAAATTTGCCAAGCTGGGCACTTAAAACATAACAAGTGGTACTAAGCTACTGGTGATGTCCTGGATTGCCAGACAGAAAGAAAACTAAACAAATGTTCAACTATGTTCAACTAAGCCATAGTATATTCCAGTATATGGAGCCCCTTTAAAGATGAGTTCATAGTACAAAATAACAGGACAAGTAGTTAAGTGTGATCAAGAGTCAATGGATATAACAAACAATAGAATTAACCTCCAGGAATTTGAGATAATAAAATTATCAGATAGGGACTAAAAAATATAGATGTTCAAATTGACTAAATCTTAAAAGAAGCAATTAAATATGGGAAACAATTAAAAACAATCAGGCAGATGTGATTAAGAACCAATAGAACTTTTAGAAATGAAAATATAGTCTTAAAAGAGACTGCAACCCATAGAAATTAAAAGAAATAAGAACTCTAATGAAAAGGTTCAGTTCATGAGATTAAATTCCTGAAAGAGGGGTGCCTGGGTGGCTCAGTTGGTTAAGCATCCAACTTCGGCTCAGATCACGATCTCACGGTTCGTGGGTTCGAGCCCCATGTCCTTGTGCTGCCAGGCTCAGAGCCTGGAGCCTGTTTTGGATTCTGTGTCTCCCTCTCTCTCTGACCCTCCCCTGTTCATGCTGTCTCTCTCTCTCAGAAATAAATAAAACATTTAAGAATAAATAAATAAATTTCTGAAAGAGTATTAGGAAAGGGCAATATTCAAAAAAAATTATGGCTGAGAATTTTCCAGCATTGATGAAACACAGATTAGATTCAGTTCATGCTGAGTCTAAGATGTGATTTTACTGTATTTACAAATTTACTAAGTCAGCCTCTTACTGTTTTATGGTTGCTGACTGAAAACATGAGATTCCTGAGTCAAGATTATTTCTCTTGAGTATGGTAAGAAGTATGAGCATTATCTTTGCCTTATTTCCTCTTGCCTTACCCCAGAACCCACTAGTGTAGTGTAGAGGACTCAGTGAATGCCTGCACACATAATGGGCTCCTTTTGATAAGAGGAACACTGAGCTTGGGAAACCCATGGTTTTATGGCAGGCGATTAACAGGCTTGCTTTTTGTACCAGAAGGAAACACTGCCTCATTCTTCCACCTTGCACAAAGCACATATAATCCTGAGAAATGGCCCAAGAATAGTTAAGAGCCTTGGATTCATGGCATACCTAGTTGAAACATGTATAAAAAGTAAGAAACCCATGGAGGAGAAATAAATCTCCTTGCAGGAAGCACACCATAGTCCAAGCTAGACAAATAAGAATAAGTCCACAACTGGATATTTGTAGTTAAATATCCAATTCATGGAAACTACCAGCAAGGAAAACTCTAAACTGAGAGTCTAATTCTACCTTTGCACTTGATATATAGATGAATGACTTTAGGAAAGTTTTTGACCTTTACAAGTCTAAGTTACTTATGTTAAAATCTGATTATAAAAGCACTCTACTTATCTCGCAGGGTGATGATAAAAATTTAAACATTGAAAATTATAATTTGCTATTTTAAGTAACAGAACTTGGTAGTTTCACTAATGACACTGTCATAAAGCAAAAGTTGTTATATTGTGAATCTGTTGAATATCTGAAGTAAAACCTAAGCCAACTAGTGTATCTCTTTAAAAATATAATCTTTACTCCTTTAAGCTAGCATTTAATCAATATTCTGAAGTTGAGGCGAGTATTCCTATAGCAGTAACAGATAAAACAAAGTCTCCAGCCATTTGGAGTACATAAATACCACATGGGATATTAAGGCTTGCTTCTTATATAAATACCATGATGGTAATTGAATTTAATATGGGCAAGTTTTCCTCTGTGTATGTTATTTTTACTTTTGCTGTTCCATAACTCTGAAGGTTTTAACCTTAGAATGGAACACAGTGGGATAGAATTTTTTTTTTTTACAAGGAAAACAATGTGCATTTAGCATAATGCAAACTGTGAAATCCTTCTGACTTAGAAGTGTATTTTGCCAAACTAATTGTTTATTTTCTAGTATTTAATTTCTTATATTCTTCTTAACAGTGTGTAATATTGACTGAGATCAAACTTCCGTTGCAGAAGAAGATCAATAACTTTTGCCGTTCTCATTGCCCTCCAATTAAGGTAATAGTATCACTTAATAATGACACGTAGTTAAGCAAAGCAGAACACTTTCACTGTTAGAACTCATAGCTTTTCAGTGAGTTATATTAGAAGTTCTTATTTACATGAGGACACAAATACTTTTCTCTTCAACTTTGGCATTTATTCATTTCTTATTTTTAAAACCAAGATCTAAATTTGACTCAGAGCAAATCCAAAACTGAGGAAGAATCAAGATGAGGAATGGTAAGGATTGTAGATATTGAATTTATCATCTAACTTTAAATATGGTGTAACGGTGGTTTTTAAGAGGTTCACAGGTTCTTATAACAAATATTCATTGAACATCTACTACAAATACAATTCTAGGCACTAGGAATACATTAGTGAGTAGGACATACAAATTTTCCTACTCATGAAAATTACCATCCAGTAAGGAAGATACTTAATTAAAAAGCATTTAAGTAACATAGTTTCAATACCAATGAAATAAATAGCTAGGTTTCAAAGGGACACATGTACCCCAATGCTTGTAGCAGCACTATCAACAATAGCCAAAGTATGGAAAGAGCCCAGATGTCCATCAGTGGATGAATGGATAAAGAAGATGTGGTATATATACAGTGGAATATTGCTCAGCAATCAAAAAGAATGAAATCTTGCCATTTGCAACTTTGTGGATGGAACTAGAGGATATTATGCTAAGTGAAATTAGTCAGAGAAAGACAAATACCATATAACTTCACTCATATGAGGACTTTTAAGATACAAAACAGATGAACATGTAGGGAAGCAAAATAATATAAAAACAGGGAAGGGGACAAAACACAAGAGACTCTTAAATATGGAGAACACACAGAGGATTACTGGAGGGGAGGTTGTGGGAAGGGGGGATGGACTAAATAGGTAAGGGGCATTAAGGAATCTACTCCTGAAATCATTTTTGCACTATATGTTAACTAACTTGGATATAAATTTAAAAAATTAAATAAAATGATAAACAAAAAGAATAAAGAAAATAGCTAGATAAAGAGTATAATATCTGCAAGATGTTGGGATGGGAACCAGTGCTAGTTCTCTTAAACTGAAAGTCAAGGAACTCCTGAGGAGATAATGTTTAAATAGAACCCTGAATAATGAGAAAGAGCCAGCTATGGAAAGATGTGGGGAAGAGCATTCAAAGCATGAAGAACAGCAAGTGTAAAGACTTGAAAGTGTAAAAAAAAAAAAAATGTACTTGATGTGTTTACAAACAGCAAGAAGCAAGCAAGAACATAATGGAGTTTGTGTAAAGAGGAGAGAGTAGTATGAGTAAAAGTTACCAGAGGATTATTTTCAGAGAAGTAGAGGGCTATAGCATACATGACTTTGAGGATGGCTGAGTTTTAAGCCCATGAGTTTTGACCTGATTTATATATACTGCTCAGTGTAGAACCCCACGTGGGGTTCGATCTCACAGCCATGAGATCATGACCTGAGCTGAAATCAAGAGTTGGATGCTCAACCGACTGAGCCATCCAGGCACCCCTGATCTTATTTATATTTTTAAAAGATCACTCTGAATGTGCTGTATGGAAAAGAGTTCAAAGCAGTAATTTTCAAAGTATGGTCGAAGGATACTGAATATTCTTGAGATCTTTTCATGGGATCTGCAGAGTCAAACTATTTCCTAATATTACTAAAATGTTTTTTTACTCTGATCCTCTTCGAGAGTACAGTGGAGTTTCCAGAGTCTAGATGATGTGTAGTAGATATTATTACTCTGATAGCTAATGAAATGTATGTGTGTATTCTTACATTTTAAATGTTTCTCTGTTTTAATTTCTAACACAGCAAATACCAATAGGTATAACCCAGATAAACAGAAGCTCTTTTGGTCCTCAATAATTTTTAAGAATGTGAAGGAATCAGGGTACCTGGATGGCTCAGGTGGTTAAGTGTCCAACTCTTGATTTTGACTCAGGTCATGATCTCACAGTCATGACACTGAACCCCATGTCAGGCTCCACTCTGAGCATGGAGCCTGCTTGGGATTCTCTCTTTTCCTCTCTGTCTGCTCTTCCCCTGCATGTACATGTGTTCGTTTTCTCTCTCTCTCTCTCTCTCTCTCTCTCTCTCTCTCTCTCTCTCTCTAAATAACTAAATAAGTACTTTAAAAAAGGAAAAAAGAACATGAAGGAATCACAAAGCCAAATAGAAAGAAAACCATTGAATTAATAGAGTAGAAGCAACTAGACCAGTTGGAGGATAATGCAGTAATCCAGGTGTGAGATGCTGGTGACTCAAGAGAGGTAGAAATAAAAATTTTGAGAAGTTAATGAATTTGAGATATCTTCTAAAAAATGGCTTACAACTTAGGAATGGATGAATATGAGTTTTGAGGGAAAGAATGCTAAAGAATGACTCCTAGATTTTTTCCAGAGTAACTGAGTCATGGTAATATTGGGAAGACCAGTAATAAGTTTAGATCAGAAAATTATAATTATCCTGTGCAGTTACATACATACCAGTAACGCCAGCTCCTTTGTGCAGTTATTTGTTCCTTTGAAAAAAGGAAAAAACTATTTGTTCTTTTAAGATAGGCTTAAGCCAACTATCATACTCTATTAAATAGTTGTGCTAAAAAATTTTAGATTGTGGTATTTACATAGTATATTTACACTCTGTACATTTCTGCTGTGGTTCACAATTTAAACAGATGAGTAGTAAGACATAAAATAGTAAAGTTAAAATAAGGCACAGAAGATTTACAAAATTATTACACTAAGTTATGAACTAAAATCTTTGTTTATGTAATCCAACTTGAAAGTTGTTTTGGAAAGAAATTGTCCTCAGGTTTCCAGCTTTTAAACTTAAAAGAAATTTCTGAATTTCTGCTCATTTTTATATCATAAAAAATACTGTGTGTACCTATTTTAATAGTAAAGGCAGTACATGATCCAGTCTTCTTTTAACTCTCTCATTACTTCATGTAATGGGGGGTATAAATTATTTTAATGGGCTACATTTTTATATCTAAATATTAACAGACTTTAGTTTTTGTTTAATAAAGTATCACTTTAGGGGCACCTTGGTGGCTCAGTCAGTTAAGCGTTCGACTTTGGCTCTGGTAATGATCTCACGGTTCATGAGTTTAAGCCCAGTACTTGCTTCAGATCCTCTGTCTCCCTCTCTCTCTGCCTCCCACCCTCTGCAATAAATAAATAAACATTAAAAAAAAAATCTGATTTTTACCTTTCTTGACTTTGATGTATACTGTTGTTCCTCAACCCTTTTTCTGTTTGTTGCCTCCATTTTCAACTTTTAGCTCTATTCTCTTTTCCATTAACTCTATTATTGTGAATGGACACTCCTCTTTTCTCAAATGAAAAGTAAAAATTCACTGTTAAAACCATTGAACCAAGATATTGGTTTCTTTCTTTCTTTCTTTCCTTTTTTTTTTTTTT